TAGATCTCGTCGTTAGAACTTGACGGATGACACTTTTGTAGAGTCAATATACCATGTGCAGTCTTAAACACCACTTTGGGGCAAAGGCTCTTTTTCAGTAGTTCCAGATTCGAAAGTCTTGGGAAGCCCTACTCCCAGTGTGTTCTCCCCAGCTTAATTTTTTATCTACGATAATTCCGAGATACTGACAGAGCTTAAGAGTATAACAGTCCTAGCCCTTACAGAAGACAGATTGATTTGCTTAAGGTTTGTCCTTCTAGAGAAAACACAGATTTCTATTTTATACGGAATGACAGTTAGGCTGTGACCCGTTGTCGTATACCCCATAGTCACCCTTTTATAAACCGGGATAGGCGATAAAACAAAGGTCAGCGAGATCGTCCGCGTAGCAGCGTCCGGCTGACAGTGCTAAAAAATATCTCATTTCATTCGATGTAAAGGCAATGGCAAGCAAACACTATCTCAAAAAGTTTTCTATAAACCATTGGCACATGATTGAATATATTTGAGGTAATATGCTAAAGTCCAACCTCGCGTACTTAAACTAACTATTGACATATGCCATGAAGACCCTACATATCAGCAATATCAGTGTGAAGAGTTTGAGACGCAATTGAGTGCCTTCTATGTACATATGGTAATCTCTAACAATTATTCGTTAAATAGTTGAAAGCAATTCATTTAGTAAATACAAAAACACACCTTTTCTACACAAAACTCGGTAAATATTGCAATCTCTACAAACATATTTACAAACACGCATTCTAAGCCTTTAACTAGTTACAAGTACCTATTGATAAGCTCGAGATTATTTACATATATTTACACTGATATGTTGTTGTTTTAAGTGCAGAGCAAACATCCCCCATTGCTTACACCCACTCGAATAAACAAATGCAGAATCGAGGGTAAACATATTATATGAGCATAACTCTGTGTCGATTTGTATGTATGTATATTTTTTATTTTCAAATTTCTTCATATATCAAAGTAAATATTATTGCATACTTAAAAGCGCTTCTCATCGATATAAAAAGGTTTATTCATGCATATATGCTATATTTTGTGTGTGTGTGTGTGCATATGCATATACATACATTATATGATGTTTATTTACATACATATGTGTATGGATTTATAAAATTGCTTAAAAATATTTACACAGCTGTATGGTTTCAAAACAAAGTACCCTTCAATTAGAGAACATATTTATGTCAAATACATCGTACGATATGTTATAAATTTCAATATTATTTCAAAAATAAATATTCTCCAGTAATTAATAACAAAAGCACTGTTATTTATAAAATTTACTTAGCATTCTGAATTTATTATACACACAAGTGTATACTTTGAGCTGAAAGCTTTTGCTATTTTGTTTTTTTTTTTTCATTGCAATAAATCAACATTTAGATCATATTTTCTTAGCTGTAATATCTTTAGCCACTTAGTTTAGCATTTTCCACAACATAGTTTAATTTAATCTAGTTGTAGTTTAGACAACCCAGCTTTAGATAGACTATATAATTAGCGGCAACACCTACAAACTCTAAATGCAGTCTCGCTGTACCTATCCTCCCTTAAACTGTATAATAATACGAGTTTATACTCTAAAGCAGCTTAATTCTTGTAAGAGCCACCTTTGTTGTACATATATCAGCAAGGTAGAAACCTCAAAGCTTAAAGGATGCTCAACGTACCCTGCGAACAGTTAAAACAAGAAAAAACGTTAATACCTTTCACAAATACAAAGGCTTCTTACAAGAACTTGATTACGATCGTTTAATTTGTATGGTAGCTATATGCTACAGTGATCCGATCTAAACAATTTTTACGGAAATTATATTTTTGCCTTAAAAAATAACTCATGTCAAATTTCATGGAGATACCTCGTCAAATAAAAAAGTTTCCCTTACAAGGAATTGATTCCTATGGTTCAGTTTATATGGCAGCTATATGCTATAGTGATTGGACATCGCGGTTCCGACAAATGAGCAGCTTTCTCTTGGTGAGAAAACAAAGTGTGCAAACTTTCTGGTCTATATCTCTAAAACTGAGGGACTAGTTCGCATATATATATATAGACGCATAGTCTCTCAGTTTTGGAGATCGATATCTCCAAAAATTTGGTAGACATTTTTTTCTCCCCAAGAAATTGCGCATTTGTCGAAACCATTATTATTGGACCACTATAGCATATACTTAGATGAGCGATGAAATCTTTTTATACCCTTTTATGTATTAAAAGTGCACTTTATAGAGTATTATAGCATGGGTGCCGCCAAAATTAACATTTTTTCTTGTTTCTAAAGCATTTTAACTGCTCCAAGCATTAACTTACTACCACATACATATGTACAAACACACAATCATATCTAGAAAAACATATTATTTCAAGTTATCACACTGCCAGTGCATGATTCTCCAACTCATCGCGGTCGATTTACTTAAAAAGCATTAAAACTAAAGTCTAATGAAAACAAGTGAACAACAATAACAACAGTCATATGAAAACAAAGCACTTTGAAGTTGTGTAAAATGAACCTTCAGCACTTCAAAAAAAAAAAAAAACTACGAAAGCACACACAAACACACATATGTACATACTATGTATGTAACCGAACAACGATAATGGTCGCAGCGCAACCTTCGAAAAGTAATCAGAATAACAATAAACAAGAACAGTCTTTTACCAATGCGATGAGTAATCATCAATCATACGATCTAACAGTGTTGTTCTTGGCTATTTTGTAATTGTTGTTGTTGTTGGCCATTCTGTTCCATTCTTTATTTGGCTAAGTTGGTGCTAGCTCTTGTTTGCCGTTTCTGTGACGATTGACGGTATGTCTGCCCGCCTGTCTGTCAGCTCAGTCAAGCGCTGAATGCGCTCGTCCGCTTGTCCGGTCGTCTGTCCGTTCGCTCGCACCTTCACCAGCACATTTTATGCTGGTTCGTTAATTTATTTGTTTGTTAACTCAACGTTTGGCACGATCAATCAAGCTAAACCGATTGAATTGGCCGAGAGCGGTGGTAGCGGCGGTAAAGTGGGGCAAGACGGGGCGTGTCGGTTGAGTGATCGCGCGTTCGATTGAGCGCCTACTCACATTCGTATATATGTATGTATGTATAAGTATGTGTATGTGTAGGTATATAGAACCGAACGTGCTTAATAACTAACGCGGTGATTATACACCGCCTTCGAAACGAATCGATTGATACATTTAAGCAACTACATAGCTTAATAACGATAATAGCATTTACAACAACAACTACAATAGCAGCAGCAAGAAACAACAATATCAGCCACATATCAGCGTCAGGGCAACGAGCGCTTCAAAGCTCCACAATCGCTTACTTGCCGTTAATTATACTGCTTAAAAAAACACACACACATACAAACAGCTGCTAACACCTTACTGCATGCACGCTTCCACCTTAACTTCACCCAACGCTCGTTGCTTTGCACACTTCACTTGTCCGCGAGTTGCTCGGTATCTGTTAGTCAGCCCGTCAGCTTGTCAGCTTTACCGCCGTCTGGCCGCTCCAACGCCCGCGCTGCCTTGCTACCGCGGCGAGCTGCGTGCTGACATGCCGTCAGCATGTCTGGCCTGCTTGTACTTGGCTGTATGGCTATAGTTAGTCAAGTCGACGGCGGTCCTAGCCCGCGCTGGCTTTACGCTGCCGCTAGAATGCCAACTCTATTCTACATTTGAAATTAAGCACATACAGATATTCTCGTAAGTCTGGCGCATGCATGCAAACAATTGCTGCTTGATTACATATACCGTTCACAAAAGCCACAGCTTTGCATTTTGTTGCTGTTGTTGCCACTTTTAATTCGTTTTTTATTTAATCTTTTTTTTATTTTTACGTTATGAACCTGCAAATGGGTATGATTTCATCGCCACTATTGCGCTACTCACTTGCGTTTCCCTTAAATCGCATACGTTTAAGCCGTGCGAAAAATGTTTGTAAAAATTGGCGGAAAAAAATAATATATACAAATAAGTCGAGGTGAACACGATAAAGTTTTACGAATATTTCAAGCATCTGAAAATCTGTGCAGAAAATTGCCTTCAGATCTCACGTTCGAGTCGCACAATTTCTTATGCTTTAAGAAATTTTTGTCGAACCGGAAAGGGTTTTCGTTGCATTATAATGGCTTCTGCTCAAATTTGTGGCGATTTTCTTAGACTTTTAAGGTATCCTGAGCCGTAATGCTTTTCAAGACGACCGTTGGGCTTGCATGTGAAACGTAATCAAATCAAAAGTTTGCTGGATAGCCACAGTATCTCGAAATGTACTACCGAAGGCGCTTTGGAGTTTTCGATTCCGCTTTGAATCTATAGAAATATATAAAATTATAAGCAGAATTTATTACTCAGAGTTGTAAGCTGATTGCGTGTCATAAAATCCTTCGTATTATGCACTGAGTGGCTCATGGTATTATAAGAAGGCGTGATTTCGTCAGTTTCACAGCCTCTCTCTCCAAACCGAAACAATTTTGATGAAGCGACGAAGCAAGCAAGATATATACTTATATTCAGCATGACGAGCTGAGTCAATTTAGCCATGGCCGTCTGGCTGTCTGTATATACGCAAACAAGTCCCTCAGCCTTTAAGATATCGATCTGCACACGTCCTTTTCTCTCTAAGAAGCTGCTATTTGGCAGAATTGCCGATGGCGGACCGCTATAGAATATAGCTGCTGTACAAACGGACCGATCAAACTCGAGCACTTGTAAGGAAAACTTTTTTATTTGACAAGTATTTGACAAGGCATCTTCACGAAATTAGGCACTGATTACTATCTAAGGCAGAACTACAATCACCGATATAGCTGTCATACAAACTGACTGAACAAAACCAATTAAGGGATCTTTTTATACCCTTTTATGCTATAAAAGTCCACCTGCGCAGCGTATTACAGCTTCAGTGCAGCCAAAATTTATGTTTTTATTGTTTTGATAGAATTTTAGAACCAGAGAGAGAGAGAATAATTTTAGATAGTAACAATTTATTTAGTCAGCTTTGACTACTTTCTTCTGGTGCAAATATACAACTCAGCGTATTTCAAGGCACATGTATGTATGTTGACTCTGTTTTCTAAGAGCTCGAAGCCACCGGTTGACTTCTTTCAAGTATCTTAAGTGTCGCTGCCGCGTTTACTTCTTTATATAAGTATCTAAGAGTCAGTTTAACTTCTCTACTAACATCTTGTAGTTGGTTTAAGCGAATTTGTGCTGCATAACATAACATTAATCGTTCTGACTTGCCAATTCTGATGTGTGTGATTTTATTTCTTTTTCTTCTCAATGTTTTTATTTTGCCAACGTTGCCAAAGCAGGCGAATGGGTAAGCAAGCTAGCGTGTTGTGTGTGTGTGTGACTGCGAGTATAAATGCATATTATTAAGTGCCAAGCATAGAGGTACTGTTTGTTTTCACCAATAAACAGACAAGTGCATGCAATTCACTATACATGCATATGCATGTGTGTGTGTGTGTGTCGAGATTGCGTCTGTCGGTCATTTAGACATGCGGGTTTTCAGGTGAGCGCATATCCTATAATCGCACATTGAATATGCATGCATTCACATGCACATATGCACATATGCACACTAACATAGTTATGTGTGTGTGTTGGTTCAACGGTGTACGTGTGCGCCTGCATTCAGGCTCTTGCTTGGCTTGGTGTTTCATGTTCTTCTTTAATTAGCGTTTAATTTTATGTTATAAATAATGCATTACATGTTGTAATATTCTAGACATGTTGGCTTTGCCAGTGGCTTCTCATTGTTATTGTTGTTGTTGTTGTTAGCTTTGACTGTTTTTATTTTTGCAGCTAGGCCTGCAAATTAGATATTATTATAATATAAACACTATAGTCGCTGCACTTTACTCACACTATGTGCTAATTGTTGTTGCTGCTACTGTTTCTGCGTTCATTGCGGTTGGTTTTTGTTATATTATTGGCATTACTATGAAGTTGTTGTGCGGTTTTTCATGTTGTACAATAGTTCAAGGTTGATTTCTGTGTACCGCATTCGAAGTGCTGAAATATATCAACATTTTACTGTTACAAAATGCAACTGCGGCAAGCTGTGCTTTATATTGAAAAAAACTTAAAAAAAGAAATAATAATAATTTCTCAGAAAATGTTCGCTAGTGCAGAAAATTTCCGTTTTAGCGTATGACTAATAAAAAACCTAATGCCGGCAGAAAATAGCTCTTTTTGGCCTAAATATCTGTCAAGGCTTTAGCTATAACCTGCATCACTTAGGCATATGACTAGCGGCTGTTCGCTTTCCTAGCATTGCGGTATCACTTAGTGCTTTCTTCTTTACACTGTCATTATCAATTAGTAAATGAATTTTCTTTGAAGTTCACATACATACACATACATATGTACATAACAATTAAATACCGCGAACTTATTGTAAATCTTTCAATTTTATAGCACATAGAACCGCACATACATACATACTTACATACATGCTGACAAATGTCACACGTGCTGCCTTTAGCGCTGCCAAATTTTTGCTCTAATGTCACTCTGTTGCAAAATAGACATTAACATGAAATTGTGGGAAATTTATTGAAATTGTCATTAACACGAAAATACTATTAAAATAAGTTTTCTTTGTAAGCACTTTCACTAAAAAAATAGCACCAAATTGAAAGAATAGAAATGTGTTAAAAGTAGGGCTGTAATCTGTTAGTATAGTACGTAATATTTTTCCAAAAACCAAACAAAAAAAAAACAAGAAAAAACGTATAATATCCTTCACAAATACAAAATATTCCTCATGAGAACTTGATTTTGATCGGTCAGTTTGTATGGCAGCTATATGCTATAGTGGCTCGATCTGAACAATTTCTTCGTAGCTTGTAGCGATATCTTGTATAATAATAACTGCCAAATTTCTGGAAAATATCTCGTCAAATAAAAAAGTTTTCCATACAAAAATATGATCCGATCGTTCAGTTTGTATGGCAGCTATATGCTATAGTCATTCGATATCGTCGATTTTGACAAATGAGCAGCATCTGGAAGAGAGAAAAACGTGTGCAAAATCTCAGATTGATATCTTAAAAACTGAGAAACTAGCTAGCGCATATTCAGACAGACCGTTGAACTTCGCTAAAAGGACTCAGCTCGTCATGCTGTAGCATTATATACTTATGTATAAACTTCATATAATAATATATATATTTTATAAATATATCACATCATATGTAGTCTACTATTAACTAAAGCTCTTCATTCTTCTTGCAGGCATGTGTAATGCATTTTCTGTGTACTTATATACAGGTTAACTAAAATGCATATGTTTGGCAATACATACATACATATGTATATATGGTATAACCAGAGAATGTATTTGGGGTCCTTCTAAGTTCTCTGGTATAACAATTTAATTCAACAAAAAATTTCAGCTGATCAGCTGAGTGTGTCCTATTTCTCTTTATCTCAACTGCTCGAACTCATTTGTACAAAATCACTCAGGGAGCGCTACTACATTTTCCGCTCAATTTTTAGCCACTCAAAGAGTAAGTGATCATGCTCAAAGCTCTTTACCACTCTTTTAGGTGAGTATTTTGCTCCAAAGGGCTAGTATTCAGAACTCTTCAATTGGATAAAACTCTTCTGCTAAGTAGAGCAATGATTGAGCAGAGTATGATCGCTTTTTGTACTTTTAAATCAGCTGTTATACATACATAACTTATATACCATAAGAGATGCAAATATAAAATTTACATATACATGTGTGTAGGTATTAAGATAAATATCAAGTAAAGATGTTTTTAAATCTTTTCACAATTTACCACTCTATATAAACAATCTTTGAAGCCGTGAAATTAATAACGGAATTGCTGCACTCATTTTAATTTTCATCTCAAACTATATGCTGCTAAATATGTATGTATATTCTGCTCACGATCACTTACTTCTCTTTCAATTTTCCATTAGCAATTAGCTCAACTTACAGTAAAGATATTATGTATAATAATAACAAAAGAGCTCATTTGAGCGTTTTTGATGATAGATGATATGTGTGTATTTCTCTTAGGGCGTTCAATGTAGCAATAACAGCTGAGCCGATCAGCTGCTTAATGTTTTTGAAAACTGCTTCTCCGAAAAAACCATTTATAAACAAAAAGTTAAGAGTTGGTGCTGTAAGCAGAGACTTACAAGAACATTTACGTTCTCTGCTGTAAGAATTAGCGAAAGATCATTTGAGTGTGTTTTTTATGTGTAGTTTACTCTCTTACACTCGAAATAATAATGTGCTCAGTTTTTGTGGAATTTCTCTTAATTTTGTGTGGCTCAGTTTATGTAAATTTTACGCTCTCAAAATATTTGTTATAATCTCTGTTTAAATACATTTCTCTTCTACAAAATTTTACTCATTTCATAACTTATCAACTCAGGTACTAAAATATACTCTTCGCTTAGTTTGTGTAGAATATTTTTACTCAACTCGTCGAAATATGGATGAGTGCCTCGTTTGTCAAGCTTGTTGCAAATAGACATTTCTCGCAATATCTCTGAAATTTTATGTATCTACAAATATATGATTTTATATTTTAACTTTTTATTGACTTTCTTTCAAATCTCTAATTTTTCTCTACACTGAAGTTATAACTTACATTTATTTGTCTTCTGCTGCCGTTGGAACAATATAAACTTCAATTTGGAAAAGTAAAAAAAAAAGTTATTAGCTGAAATTATATACATATGTATGTATTTACATGGATATTATGTGTGTAGGTTTGTTCAGAAACTGATTAGAATTAAACAAAACTACTTACACACATACTTACATATATAGAAGTAAGCCATAAATGACCGATAACAGAGGAAAAAGATAATAAACTAAAAACTTGTAGAAGTGCTTTAAGATTAAAACTATCAAGATTAGGTGTTATCTTTTACCAACATACATATGTACATACATGTCATATTATTGTGTTTAAAGGAAATAATTTGATTTATTTGAAGTTTTTTAAATGTATGAGCTTAAACTGCGTGAGTCTGATTTAAACTTAGGGAAATTTTTCAAAAAGTTGTCTTTTTAATATGTCAATCAATGTTTGCTGAATTTGTCATTAGTTGACTAGATCTGGGTTTAATTCGCTACAGCAAATATAGAAATGAAGAAGAAATTTTGGGAAGTCAAAATATCCCTTATTTGTTTTATTTCTCCGAATACGCCTGACGAAAGTTCTATCATATCTACCTATATAAATGTATATGTACGTGTACATATAAGTATGTATACGTGCGTGCTTATCTGAAAAACATTGATATTTTTTTTTTTTTTATATATAAACCTAATTTTATGTCGTGCTACCAAACGATTTATCTAAATATGTACATATGTACTTAGGTATGTGGATGCAAAAGCAGGTATGCATGCATATGTACGAAACCTACTTCAGCTAAAGGAGCTGCACACTTTTATACATGTAACATATGTATGTGCATATGCTATATACTATATATATAGTTTAAAAACACCAGCAATTTTCCTAAAAACTACAAAGAAACAACAACCACAACAGTTAAAAAAAAAAAAAATTTTGTTCGTTAGAAAAATTATACGATGCCATTAAAGGTCGCCATAAATATGTATGAGAGCGCAAATATGAAACACCGCTAGCATACAAATTAGAGAGTACGAGCGGCCGCTACACACCACATTTTACTACGCACATATGTATGTATGTATGTAAACGTGTGAGTGCTTGTAACTATATGCTGTGTGTGAGTTAGAATCGCATTAGTTACCAGCAAGACGGAAAACAGTTCTTCATCAACATAATCGACAAACGATCGCGCAGCCACTAGATTATGAATGCTGTTCTTGTGCTTTTCTTATTGTTTTTACCTGTTGTTGGTGTTGTTGTTGTTGTTTTTAATGTCGTATTGTGCTCCAGCTACCGGTGTTACCCGCCTACTTGCCGCGATACGAAGTCACTTGCGCCGCGGCGGACACACAAAACCCGCTTTCTTTGTACTCCAACTGAAACAAACACACGCACACACACACACACATGCAAACATACATGCAAGTAGCCGTTGTACAAGCAAACACATCAAATCAACCTATTTGTTTTTTGTTTTTTTTTGTGTTTTTTGCTTACTTGATCTTTTGATTTATTTATTTTTTCCATTTTTATTTTTGTGCAGCTCTTAAAATTTTTTCCTCACGTTCTTCTACTATACATTATAGTTGTTTTTATTGTTGTTATTATACATACTATGTACATTTTAATTCTTTGCCTCAGCCCTGCTGTGGTTCTTTGATTGCTACTTGTGTTGTTAGTGCGTGTGTTTTTCTCTATTCTTTTTTTTGTTTGTGTTCTTGTTGTTTTTGCTGTAGTTTTTTGGTTGATTTGTGCCACTTTACCTTTTTTATTTGCTTTTATTAATCGTCGTTTCTCTCATTTTCTGGCTATTTGTTTTGATTTTTCGTACAAAATTGCTTGGCCCTGCCACGGCTATACCCTCGAGCCCTTCGTCTGCCGCAACAACAGCAGCAAAACTACTTTTGTATGACTTCATGCTGCATGTGTGTGTGTGTGTGTGTTGATTACCCGTGCGATCCCCAAAGCTGTGACGATCTACTGCCATCCGTTTGCTGCGCTTTCTGCGTGTCTTGAGTGTGTTTTTTTGGTTTCTTTCTTGCTTGTTGTCGTTCTTTGTGGCGCGCTTTGGGTGAGGGGCCTCTGAAGCGGAGGCACGACGATCGCTGTGGATCGTTGAGTTGTGGTGTTTGGTTGGTGCGCTTTTTGGCTTTGCCTTTGGCTTTGCCTCATGGGCACGCTTATCCATATACATACATATGTATGTATGTAAGCACGTAGTATGTATGTATGTCAGTTGTGACACAATATCGGTTGTTTTTGCTTGCTTTTCCCACTGCTTTCTTGGTTTTTTTGTTTTTTTTTTTTGTACACCGCTGTTCGGTGTTTGTGTGCTTGTGCATTTTGTTGTCATTTTAGGTTGTGGTTTCTTCATGATGCCCGCATTACGGTAAGAGGTTTCAGCATACAAATCACAATAATAGAAACCCTGCAGTGAAAACGTGCCAGCTTCCAACCGTTTGCAGTTTAGCTTGCTTGAACTTGTGTGCTGAAGGTTGGTAGTAATATATAATAGAAAATAAATTCTCTAGGATTTTTTTAATTTGTTGCTTTGATAGACATTTTTTCTACTCACCACAGGTTTTGGGCTCTTCAAATGAGCGCTGAAATTATTTTCTTGACTATCTCGATAGAAATAATGTAAAGTTTCTTTAAGTCTTATATACATATTTGCAACTGTTTCAAGCCAACGAAATTTCAATGATTTATTGAGCATGGAATTATATTGTAGGTTATGTTAACTTTCTTATACCAGCACGTCTGTGGTTTTGCTCTTGTAAACCTGTTCGAGTAGGTTCATGCCTCCATAAATGTAGTTACTATGACTAGCGCTTCAAGAGAACTTTAAGAAGCAATATTTCGTTAACTGCGTGATTTTGCTGCCATCAAGTCTTGTTTCTGCGATTTTTTTCGCATGTCGTTTGCCAGCTGCGTAGGCGAGCCAGCCGCGTACATTAAACTGCTATGAATTTAGTTCGCTTGCGCTATTTTTCACAACTTCGCGATCATCATTTGCTGCCTCACCGCGAAGAAAGTTCTGCAACGCTCAATTTCCCTGCAGGGTGCAACTCTGTGTACCTTTCCTTATATGTACGAGTTTGTATGTGTGTAGCTATGTGCGTCAAGTGTGCGCGTGTAAGTGCACAGACATACATATGGAGACCTTTAGCTGTCAGATTTGTTTTGGTTGGCTTCTCCATTTCTGCTGTTTGTTTACAATTTATCTATCTCTAAAGGCAAAGGTTTCGTTATTTGGATTTTTTACATGCCGTATTTTTTTCAGTTAATTGCTTGCTAGCTTCGTTCGCTCAAAACGGTGTGCGTGTGTGTGTGTATGTTATGTGCATACAAATTTAATTTTTTATTTTAGTTGTTTTTACGTGAAATTTTCTGCTATTTATTACATGCTTGCCTTTCAGATTCTAATTTTTTTTTTAATGTACTTACTTCCATCATAAATTATTTGCCGTTGCCTGTGCCGTTTACGCTGTTGTTAGTGGTTTTGTGTTTGTTTTATTTTTTTGTTTCAGCTTGTTCACCACGCGAGACCTCGCTGATCTTTGGCTGTCTCTTTGCCAATATGTGCAGGATCAGCCTCAGTTGTTTTTACCTTAGTTATATACGGTATTTTGTTGGTGTTATTCGAGGGCTTGGCAATAAGTTAAACTTTGATTGTAATTCTTTGCTTAGCGAGCTGCTACGGCGATTTTGTAGAAGCCTATCATATCATTTGTAGCGCAATTTGGTTTTGGTTTAAAGTTTTTTGTTGCTGTATTGTACAAGTATATGTTCATATTTTTGGTTGTTTGTGGTGAGCCGCTGCGATATTATTTCGTGGTTTAGATTATATATATGTATGTATATGGCTGGCATATGTATGAGATATGGTAAATAGGGCAACCGCAGGTTTGTTTTTTGTCGAGTTTAGACTTTATATGAATTATTTTTCTTTGTTCATTTTAGAAGTTCATTTAATGGCACGCATATAACAACAAATTTTTTTTTATCGTCTGACTATGCCAACATTAATAAATATTAGTATAATATATGTATTATATTTTCAGATTGAGTAATAATATACGCTTGCTCTTAAAATCAAATGTAAACCCAATAGTTCTTGCTTTAGCGAAAAGCGGTGAGGGGTGTTGGTAAGGCCAGTGCAAGATATACGAGTATAGTCAACTTTGCATCGAACTGTGTATTTTATGTCAAGACCATCTAATCCATTTAGCTAAACTAAGAACACTCGAATAATTTTTTTTATAATGTTACATTTCAAGCCCTTTTAAGCGACGCATATACGCGGTTCCAGATTTATATCCAGCTAAACAACAACTAATTGGTAGCATGCTCAACAGCAACATGTCTACATACTTATTCTGAATGTATGTCACATATTTGAGCTGCATAAAGCATTCAGCGCGAGTCAGGATATCGAAGGAAACATTTTCGTCACATTCAGACACTTTTTTCTACTCATGATAAAGCTACGTTACATTTCACATAGAAAGCCACTAAAGTTTGCCAAACCCGAAGTATTAGTAATCTTTACGCCATTCTACGCGCCTAATTTAGGCCCTAGCGTTTTTGCTTAAACCCCCACCATTCACATTTACATATATCCGACGTCTTATAGTTCAACAGTCACCGACGCAAAACCGTGCACCGAATCAGCTGATACGACCTAACTTATGAGAGCGCAATGTAAATGAACACTCACCGCTTTTACGAACCGTGTTGTAGAATAACCGCTTAAATTGAGTTTTCCCCGTAGAAATGAGTGAGCAAGTAATTCTTGCAACGCATGGTTGTCAATATCGATATTTTGTATAGTAATTAAAAATAATTGAATTATATTTGAAATATTCTAAAAATAACTCAAAATCACAGTCGAATAAAAATATTTGTAAATAGGTAAATTAATTTTAATAGTTTTGAGTCTTACATTATGAAAAATTATAACTAAAAAACTATGTGAAATATCGTGTCTACAAATAGAACAATGACAACATTGGTGAAATGAAAACAAAACAGAACAACTGATTTCTGCGTTGCAACTACGGGCATAACTTTTGACAAATTTGGTTTGAGACGGGCGGTAAGTAAAAGGCAGGAATGTCAGTGACTGTTTGAAGCATTACACTTAAGTTTAAAGAACAGCAGCGCATTAATTGGATTGCTCAGAAAAAAAGTAGCTTATCAAATAATCCCCTTACAAAATTTAGTACCGAAACTTCTATGAATATTTCAAAGTTCTGCAGTTGAACTTCTAAATACAAATAACTAACTTTTAGCTGCGCAGAACACTACGACAAGCGGCAGAAGTACAAAAACCACTCATTTAAATGCGAGAAAGTTGGCGATTTTAATATTTCGTAATTTTAATAGCAGTGAAAATATTTGTCCACCCACAATGCTAGTAGTTGCGTGCGACCGATATACTCACGCGTAGCTTTCGAATGACCTGAAGTCACGTCTGGACGTCTTTGAAGTTGTTTACACATATTTTAACTTACATAAAAATAAATGTTCGAGCAAAAATAAAGTTGAGAATGCGATGGCAACATGAAATCTTCACATATAAATGTATGTATGTGTGTGTGTGTGCGTGTGGCCTGGCATGCAAGTGTTTAAATAGACACTACAGTGTGTATTCCTATATAAATATGTATGTATGTTTGTAGATAAGTTTGTATGTTTGTAAATCACCTATGTTTGCACAGAGGAAGTGGCAGTCAGTCAGCAGTTTGGCCTGTGTGCGGGTACAGACGGCAAGCACAGCAATGAAATGGAAATTAAAATGAAAATTGAAATTGAATTTTGTTTGTTTACAGCTTTCGTAGGCAAAAACTTTTGCCAGCAACAGAATGAAATGTAAATGCCCTGCATGTGTGTGTATGTGTGCACGGACTGAGCAGCTGTGGACGAGCCGAAAATGTGAGGCGGTTCAAGCGGGCGGACATACCGCCTATTTGGCCTATAAGTTCATATGTATGTATATTTGTATCTGTGTGTGTGCATATGCGCAGCGCTCGTGTAAACAAACACTCACTTGAACGGACATTTAGACTTGAGAGTCTAAAAATAATGCAAAATGTTTATACAAAAGTGCATTTAACTTGCCACAGCAGTGCCAGCAGCAGCTACATACGTTAGCGGAAACAAAAACAACAGCAACAAAAAAGCTTTCACTAATGAATATGACTGCATTTGTTTAACGGCATTCTATGGACTGGCAGCACAAACACCCACCCACCCACAAACAGGCGTAAACACTCGTCTAACAACGTGCCACATTTGTTTGCTGCAACAAGGCGAAGCATGTGTGCCAGTGCTTGTACACATTTTGTGAATTTATACAAAAGTTGTTTGTAATTTTTTGACACTGACATCGCTGGCAGCGCACGAGCAATTACCTCGACTTTTGTGTTGCAAGATACAAACAACCGGTGCAATAGCAAAAAAATTGTGTGCGAATGCATATGTATACGTATATGAGTGCTGATGACGAGGTTTGTGTGCATACATATGTGCGTTTGCAATTGTTAAAAGTTAACTTTTTTTCAAAACAAAAATTGGTGGCATTGCTGCACAGGGTGTTATAAAACTAAAATTTCGTATTTGAATGACTATTTATGTAGTTCACAAGAGTAGTACGTTCTTCGTAACTAAGAGGTTGAAATGCTCAAACGAGTCATCGAAGATTTGACTCAACGGATGGGCCATCTGTGACGTAGCCACGCCCAACATTTCAATGAGGTAATCTTCAAAAAATAAATGCCAAATCATGTTCTTTCGAATGATAATAAATATTCCCCATTAAATTTGAATTTTCTGTACTTTTTTCTTTAAAAAAGTAGGGTACTTCGAAATAGATCACCCTATACAACAAGGCCTCAACGGCAATTAGCTATCTTCAAAGCTTTAAAAACGATTTCAGTAAAAAGCGGAACATCCCTAACTGCCAGTTATTTATTTCTTTCAAGTAGCAACTCTTTATTAACCATATAAAGTACAGTTTCTTTGCTGACTTGAATGTACGAAGTCGGACATCGAGTTTCTATCATCAAAACCAGTGAACTTTAAATCTTCTCAGAGCTCTTAGAGATCACTGTCGCATCTCGTTTGGAATTCCCGATCGGCTTATTTCGGTAGAACGGCTATTCTCAGCTTAGAGAATAGGCAATATATTCGATTACACATCTGCCACGATGTCATATTTAAACCTAACCTACCTAGTCAGTCCATTTTCAGTTGTGAAACTTTAGTAGGCTGTAACGGCTACACAGCTACCTAGTTAAACAACATTTTTGAAAATTTATACGCTTTGGCTATCAACAACGACTTGTTGAGTGAGTATGATAAGCAAATCGGTAATCAAAAAATGGAAGTTCTTTAACTAACTTTAAACATATCAACTATTAAAATATTTTTTAACCATTGCTAGAATCTCAAAGTATCGAAGAAATATTTGAAATTAAAATCCAATTTCTATAAAAATAATTCGGTGACTTCTCTGTCTGAGCACCTGAGCATTAGCACTGTAACTCACTCCAAAGTTTGCCCAGTTTTTTTCAAAATTGTTTGCGAAAATTTTCAGCTGGAAATAGGATATTTCTGAATTTAGTATTTATAAAACTGAAATTGAATTTTTTATTCCAAATTGCCTCCTGACATCTTCAGCTAGAAATACGATAATTCTGATTTCAGCATTTGAAAAACTGAAATTGAATTTTTATTTTGAAAATTGCCTGCCAATATATCTGGAAATACGAGAATTCTGAATTTAGCATTTAAAAAACTGAAATGGATTGTTTTTTTCCAAATTGTCTGCTGACATTTTCAGCTGGAAATCGGGGAATTTAAAATTCAGCATTTGAAAAATTGAAATTAATTTTTTTTTCAAAATAGCCTGCCAATACTTTCTGGAAATACGAGAACTCTGACTTTAGCATTTGAAAAACTGAAATAAAATTTTTTTTTTGAAAATTGCCTGACAATATTTTTTGAAAATCCGAAAATTCTGAATTTAACATTTGAAAAACTGAAATAGAATTTTTTTTTCGGAATTGCTTGCCAACATTTTTCTGGAAATCTGGGAATTTTGAATTCAGCATTTAAAACACTAAAATGATTTTCTATTCTGGAAATACGAGAATTCTGTATTTAACATTTAAACATTTGATATTGTACTTTTTTTTCAAAATTTCCTGCGGACATTTTCTGGATATCCGGGAATTCTGAATTTAGTATTTGAAAAACTGAATCTACATTTTTTTTTGCATTTGAAAAACTGAAATAGAATTCTAGAAGTTTCCAGAAACACCTCAGCGTAAGCCATTTTAATTTTTGCGGCAACGGCGTTTATGCAGATTTGTTTGTTCTTTTGCGTTGATTTGAATTAAAGCGCACATCCTTGTTGCATGCACTCACTTAGGCCTGCAAAAACACGCACACACG